TGGCTTTTTGTATTAAACTTCAACTTTTTTTATATATATATATTTTTTTCAATATTCTTTGACTTGTTAGTTATATGAATTTTTAATTTGCTTTAAAAAATTGGATATTATATAATTATTTAGAATATATTTGTATATAATTTTTTAAATAAATATGAAAACTACTAAACTATTACAGCTTTTTGTATATTTATGAAAACAATAATATTAATTTATACAAATTTTCGTATATTTTTGCATAATTTTGATTTTTGTTATTTATAAATTTTTATAGTTTTATGCATGTTTTTGCTAGTTTTTGATTATTTATATTTCACTATATTTAAATTTACTATACCAAGATATTGAAACCAATTTATTAGCAAAATTAAAGCAGATTATATGATTATTAAGTAAATAAAAAGGCTAGAAAAACTTAAACATCACACAGAAGCTCAAGCTAAATTTAGAGCAAAAAACAAAAGCAACTTGACAATAAAGATATTATTGAAAAGTATGACAAATTTGAATAATTACTAGTAGCTATATTAAATCTAAATCTTTTGAACAATATTTATAATTGTATAGAATTTGAACCTGCTTATGCTAAAAGATGAAAGACAATAATTAAAGTTTATATAATTAAATATTTATATAAAGTATCGGGAAAAAAATACAGTTGACTCTTTCAAAACTGATTCTGTTAAAACTAATAACTTGTTAAAACTAATAAAAAATTACTATTCTAGTTATATAAATCTGGTTTCAAATTTAATAACCTCTCAAATATAATACAAAACCTATCTACTATATATACCAATTCTAAGAGTGTTAATTATATAATATTTATTTTTTATACCAATATTTGTTTGCATATTTGAAACCTTGATACAGATATATATTTGTAGCTTATATTATCATATTCTGCAAAAGTTGGTTTGGCATCAGTAGCAAGAACTGATATAAAACAGTTTTGTAGTAGTATTTGCAAATGATACTATTGTTATTTTACAAAATGACAAGGCAAAAATTGGTTTAGATATTCTTGTAGTAGGCTATATATTTAAGACTATACAATTAATAAATGAACTAGTTATTGTTAAAGATTATGATTTTTCTAAAGTAAAATAAAACTTATACTTTCAGTATATTTGCATATTGATTCTAATAATTCAAATACTATACTTCACTTTAATTGAGTATTGTAATTTATTCTAGGCTCTAGATTTTGATTACTTAACTATCTATATATATACACCATATCAAAATGCTTATAATTCTGTAAAAAAAAGCATAGCTTTATCCAGAAAACTTGCTAGTATTACTCTACCTATAGATAAATATGGCATGTATTTAGATTTTCAAAGAAACTATAGTGTAATTTTAAATTTTCAGAAAATAAATTATATAAACTTTGAAGTAGAGATAATATATATAGTAAACCCATAACAGTACATTATGCCAATCAAATTAGTCAAGTATTTGATAATATTGATGATATTGTATTTCTAACATGGAAATAGATTAAATGTCATACTTAGTTATATTGATATTTATTAAATCTAAAGAAATATAAAAATTATTAGTATTGCTATAAATATAAAGCTTTTGATGCAGCACTTTTACTAAACCAAAATAATGAGTTTTTCCCTCCAATTGCTAAAGAAAAGAATGAATATTATATTAACTTGATATATGCTTTTCAATATTTTGACATATTAAAGATTTCAGTATTTATATTATAGTAAATATAGTAAGTATTACTTTATCTTGAAGTTTATTACAAATTATAAATGTTAACAGCATCTATTCAAGCATAGTTAACCTCAAAAACAAGTTGATAAAACCTTACTAGCTATTAACTTATTAAACTTTAAAGTTGTCAACAATGTAGTTAATCATGATTTGTTGGAAAATAAGATTTCAAATTTATGTGAAGTACAATCTAAAAATGAATAGGAATTAATAAATATTAGAATTTATAACTAATATTCATTTAGTTAAAATACTAAATTCAACTCTTTCCAATAATCACCTGAACCAAAATTTCTACTAAAAGAAAAAATATAGTTTTTGTTGAAGAGTTGTGGCCTAATATAGTAATTTGTCTAAAGGTTAGCATTTCTTTTCTTGCAAAACTCCTTTATAAGTAGTATATTCAGCATGCAAGCCAAGAACATTATTATACAAGATAATTGGCAAGAGGTGGTACTTTTGTATAAAAAATCTTGAGGGCTTTGGCAAAAGTCTGGTCTTGTTAACAAAGCTTTTAGATTATTACTTTAAAGAAAAATATAAGAGAAACAACAAAACTTATAATTTTTCTAAGCTACATTTTTTTACTTAGTCAAGTAGTTCTTTTTTTACTTTTACTTTCTCTTGCCTTCCTGTTGGTTTTTCAAAAAATTTCAATAAAAAGTAAGAATTTGGCTTATTCTCTTCAAAAGATTGGCATTGTTTATTTTCTAAATTCAGACGATCTAGCAGAATGCAACTACATGTTTTAGGAATACAAAGCTACTATACAGGACTAGGCCTCTGGCATGAAACCTTTAATAACAGCAGTAGATAGCTCAAGATATGGATTTATAGATAGTAGTAGCATCTACTTAAGATATGAACAGGCACAAATAAAATCATCCAAAGTTAGTTAAAAATTAACTTCAATGTTAAAGCAATATCTTACAATAGGAATATACAAATGTTGCATTTGTTATATAATTTTTATACTTGTCTAGCACAAGTTATAATAGTGCTTTTATAGATTGTTATATTTCTTTTTGTTTTTTCTTTTTTGCAATTTATGTCTATTTTTTTTTTTTTTCTGGTTTTTTTTTTTTATTTGTTTTTATACAATTTTTTTGAAAATTTTTTCCTTTTGTTTTATGCCTCTTGAGAAAAAAAAAAATTAAAAAAAAAAGTTTAGCAATCATAAAAAGGTATACAATAGCTAGCAAAGTATCAAAGGGATATCTTTATAATACTAAATCCTTAAAAAGTTTTGGATCCTGAGAGAAGCAAACAGTTGTTATAATAGATTGACTTGGGCAATATACTTGGATAGCTTTTATTAAATAGAACTACATTTATAAAAAAATTGTTGTATTTATTTATAATAGTTTATACAAAGCTCAGTAAATAAAGACATGACTGTTTAAAAAAAAAAAAAAAAATACTAAATATAGTTTTTTAAGCATATAAAAGAATAAATATATAAGCCTATTGGCTAATAATTTATATAACCTTCTCTTATATAATCTGTAATATTTATATTATTTCCAGATTTATAATTAAAATTTTTGTAAAAAAATAAAAACTTAGGTATATTAATAGAATATAAAAAGCCAGAGTACATTAATACAGTAGAATATAAATGATTTTTTATCTAACCAATAACATTGTGTACTAAGTATAAACTGTAGCTCATAATCTGGCTTTGCATTGCTAGTATATATTATATAGATGTAATTATCAGCTAACCCATATATCCATAGTAGTAGAGTTTGGATCCAGCTATTTATTGAATACAAATTTAATAGTAAAATCTGTCAGATATTCATTAAATTTAATATAAAAGCAGATGAAAATGAATAACCAGATCCAAACTCTACATGGCAGAAATCAGATAATAAATAGCACACCCCTTACAATTACACTTATATATATATGATTATAATACAAAATTTAAAAAAAATAATACAGTAATACAGTATATAATAACAAAATTTAATAGTATAATTTTAATTGATTTAGTACAGTCATCCTTCTATACAATCACACAGTTGGGCACATAGTAACTTTTTTTAAAAATGTGCTTATAAAAGGGTTGTGCTTGTATGGAGGTTTTTTTTTTATAAATTAAATTATAGTTTAGCCTAAATAAAAATGTGATTACATATGATGTGATTATATAGGAGGTGACTATATAGAGAGACAACTGTATAAAGTAAATTAATAAAAATCATAATAAAAATTTTTTATAACTTTAAACAAAAATAACTAAACAAAGTTTTGGCCAAATTTAAAAAAATTTTTTAATAATTTTTACAAACTTGTAAAATTAATTTAAAAATTTTCTTGTTTAAAGTTTAAAAAACTTATTAAAAAACATTTGCTTGGTTTCTATTGACTCAATTGTTTTAAAAAAATACGTATAGTTCACTCATCAATATAAGTCAATATCAAGAAAATTTTTTATAATAAAAAATTTTTATAACTTTAAACAAAAATAACTTAACAAAAACTTTATCAAATTAATTTTAAATAATTTTTACAAACTTGTAAATTTAATTTTAAAAAAAAATTTATTAAGTTTTTGTTAAGTTATCCTTGTTTAAAGTTTTAAAAAAGCTTATTAAAAATATTTGCTTGATTTCCATTGACTCAACCCCGTATATTGATTCTTATAATTTTGAAAATTGAGATTATGTTAACAGAAAAAGCAACCTCATATTGACTAATAGTAAGCGGGTACAAGATCGGTCGACCACGCGCTCTCTATCTTCTTCAACTGGGTAGCTGAATTATGGACGTGCTTACTAAAAGCGAAAAATACATAATTTTCTAGCATTAGCATTTTTTAAAGATCAGCTTTGAGAGTAAAGTTTATAATAAAAAATATATATAGTACGAAACTATTTTTACGTACGCATAATTTTAAAACCGCATGATTTTGCATAATTTGTACTTTACTGCACGCATAATTTGGCTGTGGCCATATCATAATAGACACCCTAGCTAGAGCCATGCAGGGTCAGGGCTAGTCTAGATTGCCTTTTTTTATGCAGCATTTAGCTTTTCGTTTCTTCGTCGGATAGATCCGTGTAGATTTTGATTGGTTGATCTATACAAAAATGTACCTTTAGACGATCCCCCAAATATTGGTATATTCCAATTCCCAGTATTCCAAAAGCACAATATCACAATTGTCACGAGCCAATCAGAAAATAAAATATTTCAATATTTCTAAGATACTCAACAAAGCAGTAACGATAATTTTGCTAATTTTGACAATATCCACAATGCCAATCCTCCCAACGACTACGCCGCGTTCTTCATTTCACGAAGAAATGCATTATAAACGAAGAAGACCAACGTACTGGACTGCTTCAATTCCATTATTTCTACGAAGATTATTCCGCTTTCCACAAATGGTAAGGTTCTTTGTGAACGCTTGTTTTCAGAACAATAATGGTTTTACAATTACAAATTTTTTCAGGATTTCGAGTATGCATTTTGGCAAATGCTCTACTTATGCATAGCTCCAAGAAGAGTGTGGGTAACAACTTTGTTAAAAATGTTATAAGCACCAAGATTGTGTCCGAATTTATAATAACTAAAGTTTTTGATTCTGATAAATCATCAGATATCGCAACATTTATTATCATAAACGTAAATTTTAGCTTTCTCATAAATGAATTAAATTCGAGGCTTTGTTGATCTAGTCATATTTATTTTTATTTTACCTATTTTCGCTTTCAGAAACAAAAAATCAATGGGCAAGGGATGATCCAGCTTTTGTTGTAATTTTATCATTTCTTCTGGGTGGTAGGTTCTTAAAATTTTGTTTCCTGCATTCTTTGCTTTTAAAGTAGTTAACTATTATTGTTTTATGTCACGTATAAAGCATCTGCAATAGCGTGGGGAATAGCTTATGGGCATGGGATAGTAGGGATCCTCAGGATGATCCTATTTATGGTCTTTATAGATTTTGTAGTGGTTGGTCTAGTGATATCGACGATTTGTTGGTAATCTATTATTATATTATTAATTTTTCACCTCATACAATTAATTATCTGATTATTTTTATTGTCTCTTAAAGGGCATTTGCAAACAGATTCCTATCACATAGACACACAATACATGCTGTTGAACAGAATGTGGAGTGGGCCTACGCGTTTGATGTACATTGCAATGCATTTTTCCCTTTATTTTTAATCTTATACATTGCCCAATTTTTCCTCATGAAAATCTTGACAAAACAAATTTGGGTTTGTTTATTCTTGGGAAATTCAATGTACTTAATAGCGATATGCTATTATTGTTATATCACTTTTCTTGGCTATAATGGTACGTTATGTTTTTTTCATTAAATGCTGATTTTCGGTTGAGTTTTTTCTTACCATCAAAATAATAAATTCCAGCACTCCCATTTCTGTTACATGCCGAGATGTTCTTATATCCGATAGTTCTTTTTCTCATGATTTACTTTGTATCTCTTTTTGGGTTCAATATCAGTGCGATAGTTTTACAATTGTATTTTAGTTCGTAAATTATCTGTTTTTAGTTTATATTTATAAATTGGGACATTTAGACATTAATTCAATAATTGTTGAGATAAATCCAATCGTGTTTAATATTATAGTTGTTATGTGATCAATTGTTTTTTATATTTATTGACCACATGTGATTTAATCAGGTGCCAAATAACGTAGAAAAAAAAAAATTTCACTGTAATTGTGATTTAAAAAATAAGCACATTCTCATTTTACATTTATTTCACATTTCAATACCGGGATTACTAAACAAAGAGCATCCTTCACATTCTTCCTTTAACATTCTTAATGAACTTGTAGTAAACAAAAAGACTGCTATAACTTATATGGTATTTCCCTTTAATAATCGCAAAAAAAAAAAAAAAAAAAAAAAGAAAAAAAAAAGAAAAAAAAATCCAAATGTTGATGGAACATTACAAATAAACCAATAGGAACACCCTTGTAAAAATAACATGACAAATGTGAGTATAATATATATAAATATATTTTGTAGCATAAAAAGTTGTTAACCCCCGTTGAAGAATCTCATTTGCTGTTTGCTCCTTTCAGTGTTTCCCCTTTTAATGTTGCACCTTTCCATGTTGCACATTGTTGTTTATGTCCATTTTTCCAATCATTCTTTTGACATTCTTTTGAACAATAACTCACACGCCCACAACCAGAACAAACTAATAATTGTGATTTTTTTTCGCTATCCAATTCCCCGTTTACATCTTTTCGCTCTTGGCTGTTACAAGAATTACACTTTTTACCCTTATATTGCTGATCTCCATTCGAGGATGCAAGGAATCGTTGCAAAATTTTTAATCTCTCTGCCTCTTTTTTGGATCCTTTTTCCAATTTCGTACTTTCTTTTAGACGCTTTGGTTCGAAAAGTGCAACCGCAGTACGTTTAACATCTGTCATATCAGGGGTACGTCCGTAAAGATATTTATATCTTTCCTCCGCTTCTTTGGCTCTTGTGTAATAATTTGAAGCTTGTTGAGTACGTAAATTTTGTGTGACTTGTTTCCGATTACCTGTCGTTGGGGTGGTGTTTTGAATCGTAAGTGCAGACAAAGCGTAAAGAGCAGGTGCATAAGAGGTCGAATCTTTATTGGCCTTTTCAATGTAGACTTTGAAATTGCGTGCAGCCTCCATTCGATCTCCTTGTGACCTATATATAGATCCCATAATACTATAAGCATCAACAAAATTGGGATTAATAGACACTAAACGCTCAAGGTCTTTGATACACTGTTTGTGTTCTCCAGTTGCAAGATAACATGAAGCGCGAAGATGGAGAAGACGAGGATGAAGAGGTGGCTCAAGTTGTTTGAGGGCTATGGTAAGAGTCTGAATACAGAACTGATACTGTTTACCGTTGAAGAGAAGCCAGATTACTAATATAAGTGACCTTAATAGTAAAAGGCGTTAGTTTTATATAATTTTTGTTTAATCTTTCACTTCATAATACAGGTAAACATAGTGATGGTAGAAAAAACCTGCGATCAGGTGATTTCTGTCATTCTGAACCTCGTAATGCAGCCAGAATATAATATCAAAACATACGAAGTTTATTGACCATTAGTTGGGTCATAATCATCTGATCGCGAATTTTTTTCCGCCACCATTATGTTACCTTTACAATACTTACTCTCTGGTAAATTCCGGTTCGAATGTATCTGCCTCCTCCGGAGGAGAATAGTCTTTCTCCGCTTTCTTTGCTTCTACCACTTCCTTTGCCTCTACCACTTCCTTTGCCTCTACCACTTCCTTTGCCTCTACCATTTCCTTTGCCTCTACCACCTCCTTTGCCTCTACTACCTCTTTTGCCTCTACCGACTCCTTTGCCTCTACCGCCTCCTTTGCCTCTGCTACCTCCTTGCCTTTGTCATCCTCGTCCGCTTCTTCCGATACTTCTTCATTCTCTTTCTTTTCATTATCTTCTACACCATATTGTAACTTTAAAAGTTTTTCGTATTGCTGAGCAAGTGACATAATTCTAGGCGACATCTCAGTCGCTTTCTCGTCCAATAAAAAGGCCTCGACAAGATATTTTGTAGCTTCCAAAATTTCTTGCTCATTGGCTTTCAAAGTTTCTTCTTTCGAATCATCTGGAATTTTTGATGCGATATTGAAACCTTTTGTAAACAAATCTTTTGCCTTAAAATACTGTAAATAGAAATTAATATTACAAATGGGTTATGACGATATATATACATATATATATATATAACAAATGGCATTTACCTCCGTGACTTCTGGGTCTTCGGTTTCTTTTCTTTTGCCGGTAATCTCTAACAAATCGTATTCTTGAATTCTATTATGCCTATCTATTAAAGAGTCGAGTTGATGGTCATGATCGTGTTCATGATCGTGATTTTGTCTGTGTCCATGTTGATGAGAATGGTCATGGGCATGATGTTCATGATAATGTTCGTGAGAGTGGTCGTGGTCGTGATCATGATCGTGGTCATGGTCGTGTGTATGATCGTGAGCGCGAGAATTATGTACAGGTGTTTCAACTAACTCAGTCATATTCATTCAACTTATGAAGAAAGGTCTCCTTGATAGTGGCTTGAATCTTGTGGGACGGACTGCTTTAAAAAGCCTGCTCGTTTATAGATATTTGTAGCAGCTAGTGAAGATCTTTGGTATCTAACTTGCTATAAATACCCGAATTTGCATTTTGATTTGAGACCCGATAGGTGGGATCTTGTGTTCTTTGTAATCTACAAATAGCGAGAACAAGGATCCGTGAGTCATTATTCCTGAGGCGACCAAAAAAATTGTTGATAACCGAATTGATAAACTACCAAAATTGATAAGTTGCCAGGGTCGGCCACATCAGAAACTTGTCGATTCGATTATCAGCAATTTTTAGTTTCCCAGGAAAAAAAATAATCGTTATTGTAACGTTATTATCTACCGACTCAGACAAATTGTTAGAGATTTAAATTCTCGATACATCATATGGCGTATGTTGCGGTGTGGCACGGAAGTCATCGGCATACCATCAAATAATATAGGTCTGATTGGCTGGTGTAAATCAATTGCTCGGATAATTTATTTATACGTAACACTTTAACGTTAAAATTACACAAGTAAAAATATACGTACAAATTAAATGAACAGATTATACATATAACATGTAGATTCTATTATTAAAAAAATATATGGGGGCTCCACAGCAAAAAGATGGTGTGATAGGTCAAAAAAAACTTTTTGTAAAAAACTTATTTTTGCAAATTAAAAAAAAAGCCAAAAAAAAATTTTTTTTGCCCTATCATCACTTTTTGCTGTGGGGTCTTCCATATACAGAAGTACGTATTAGAAACAAATCATAATCTTCTAAAAACTAAATAAAAATTTTAAAAAGCTTGTAAGATTGTATATACTATATACAGTATTTGTAATTTATATAGTACAATATGGCAGTATTACTGTATATACTGTATATATTGTATACTGTAGTAAATACTGTATGTACTGTATATAGTAGTATTACTTTAGTAACCCATTTTATAAAATTAAAATTGTATCTTTATAAAGCTATATATAAATACAGTATACAGTATATTAAATAAAAAATTCAAATACAATATACAGTATACTTTTACTAAATTTAAAAATATTAGCTTTGGCAAATAAATAAAAAATTTTAATCCATGTTTTTTTTAAAAAAAAAACAATTTAACTTTAAAGTTAAATTTAAGGTTTAAAAAGTAATACAGTATTTTTACTTGAGCACTACGCACCAATCAATTAGCTAGCTTTTGAGATACAGTAGGTGTAATACACTATAAATCGTTTTAGTAAAAGTGGCGACACTAATACAATAATACAGTATAGTATTTTTAATTTATAGTGCATATTTAAATATATGTTCTGTAAACGAATTCTATATCATTTTTTAATCATACCGAAAACAATTCATGCAGTACATTATTTGTGCAAGAGTCGCCTAACCACGTGACTTAAGTTAAAATGAATAGTAAGGGAAGTAACATATATGACGTATTATAGGAGAAGGAATACCCAAACTCTAACCTCTCATATGACATGAACTAAAATTGGCCAATCATGGCGCTCTTTAGGTCTACTCCTAATGACGTAATATATGTTACTCCCCTAATCTAGTCACGTATTATGGATATATAAGGCACGTGATGCTAGACATGTGGATGATTTGACGTGTATTAAAGATTAGTACCATGATGATCGTTGATTCTAGACACGTGGATGGGTCGATCTTCTGAAATTTATATTATAGATATCCCAACGATATAAATGCCAAAACCAGATGTGCAAGCTATGAAAAATAAAGCGACTCGCACAAGAAAAAAAATATGCATACAAAGGTGAAGACGTGAAAGCTAGTTTCCTCATAGCTTTTTCCAAAGATCTCTTAATAAGGACGATATCTAGAGTTATCCCTACGGTCTTGCCGTTCATCCTGTTTACTTTGCCTTCCATATCCTTGATCATAACCATACCCATTATCATTGTTACGATAGCTACCACCTCCGTAACCTCTATCATCATCGCCATATCTATTACCACCATATGAAGGACCTCCACCACGACGACCCCTATACCCACCTCTTGGTGATCCAGAATATCGACTGCCATAACCACCTCCATCTCCAGGTGCACCAGCACGAGGTGTATGGCATTTATAACACTCCATTCTTCTAGCGAAATTATTGGCTTTACAGCTGGATTGAAATAAATATAAATTAATTGTTATATAACATATACAAAAGATAAAGTAATGATAAAGAATATAAAACTTCGAACATACGATTCGCACACCCAATCACCTTCGCGTGGAGGCGGACCTCCACGACCACCACCACCACCACCACCACCACCACCACCACCTCTACCACCAGAAAATCCGCCGCGTCCTCTGCCTCTGCTACGACCTCTAAAACCTGTGGAAGCGATTTTACGTACTGACATTTCGACTTTTATGACCTTAATCATAGCATATAATTATAAAATTTTAATTAATATCATAAATTCATAACCATACACATTTGAGTTGAATAATCTGTACCTGGCCAAGGAATGGTTGATTATCAAAATATTTGATTGCTGCAGCAGTTGAGTCCGGGTCTTCATATGTTAAAGTGGCTAATTTTTTCATTGTGTAGAATTTAATCAATTATTATACATGAAAACTATCAAAAAATAACATATATGGGTTCACAATCTTTTGCTTACCATCTCCTTTGGGAAGGCCAGATGCTTTGTCGTAATAGATCCATACTAATGGTGGATAAACAGATTGTTTTTAATATATCAATTTAAATTTGACAAACATTATTAAAATTTCATATGTATACTTTTTGGCTTTTGTGTCTTCTTATCAATTTTTAACATTCCAAGACCACCGAAGTAATCTGCCAATTTCTCTTCAGTGACATCCTTGCTTAAATTTGAAATATAAACAGTATCGGTGCTCGTTTGAACTGCTGAACCGTCTATAAAATTGTCTTTATTAACAGACTATATTATGAAGTAAAGCTATGAAGCGGACGTTTTGCTTGAAAATGACTTTACGAGACATAATAATTACTATGTCCCATAAAGTCATTTTCAAGGCGAAGACCCCAATGACACCTCATTACTATATGCACCTTTAGGACGGTTCCCATAACTATCATATCCAGCGCCATCTTTGGACGGTGGACCATAACCACCTTCTCGGCTATTTTCACGAGACTTGTAGTTACCACCATAGCCATCATATGGATTTTTATTGCCGCTATAGCCAGGGCCATCGCCATAATCGTTATCACGATCTGTATAGCCTGTTTTATTTGCTCCATTGTATTGTTGAGTTGTAGAACCACCTGATGAGCCTGGGCCTGCTTGATAGTTTCCTGGAGTTGCTGGCGTAGAATAATTTCCGTAATTATAACCAGAGGGATACCCATTTACTTCATAACCATCTCGAGAAGAATACCCTTGCGATGATGCCGACGGAGGCGCCGCTGGTTGAGAATTTGTACCATTGCTATCGTTCCCATTACCTCCAGCTGGGGTATTATTATTCCCATAATAATATTCTGATGTATTTGTTGATGGTGTATATCCACTTTGACTATAGGCATCGTTATCTATAATTTTTTTTTTATTGAAGAGCAGTTGGCATTATATGACATATAGTAACGATAAATCAATTCAAACGCTTTTACATCTATCCTGATGATAGAGATCGCTGTATACTTTTTGAAGTTATTATGATCGTTGGCACATGCATCACAAATCAAGCTTGTGCCAAGTCTCTGTACTTGAACAGAATTGTTAACAAGTATTTGGGTACTTGTTCTCAATCATTTATTTCTTTTAACCCAATTTTATCAATTTCCGAAAAGTATACATGCATTCTTCTTACTAATAAACCTACATGACTGATAATTGTAGCCCGTAGATGAAGGATCCTGTTGACCCCCGTAATTTGAATATTGATCCATTCTCGCTTTACACTGTTAACACTGTCGAGTATTCAAAAAGTTGGTTTGTTTGATAAGCCTACTTTGGGCCTAGCCTCTTGACGATCAAGCTAGTTTTCAAGCCTGATTTGTTATGTTTGATGCATGCATTTATCACTCTAAATGTTATTGGTTCTTGATCTTCAATTATGATAAATTATTGATACTATACATGTGACAAAATAATTTACTAAAAGGGAAAATTGCATAATTAACAATTGTGATTATTAGGATCCTTCAACTTTCGATATTCGAACCAGAACTAAAACAACCTAATAAAAAGGGGGTTTCATAACGATAACTCACTATAGAAATGCAAATCGCTTAGTGTTGGGGTTTGAGTAAATTTGTACATATAAAATTTTACATGTCTAGTTGCCTAATAAGTACAATTTTATATATTCAACCGCAAATGCTGCTCCTACTATATATCGGCCTTATTGATTATTATAATAAATACTGTATGAGCCATTTCACATCTTTACTTTATTCATAACCTAATTTTTTTTTTATTTAATAATATACAGTATATATAAGAAAAGAAAAGCTATTATATATCACAGTGATATAAATACACTAATATGTGGTAATACATAACTTATTTGCCTATATATTAGCAATATACTGTATTAAAGTTTTACAATAAAAGGTAGCTATAGACTAGCTAATTAAATTTTAAAATTTTATTATAATAATTTATTTACAAAATTTATTTTTTAAAAAATAATTATATTTAATTAAATTTAGAAATATTACAGTATACAGTATTTATATTTTTTTTTACTTTTTAAAGATTATACTTTTGGTTTAATTTTATTAAATATATTAGATAATATTCTTATATGCTATTTTACTATATAGTAATAAGAGTACAACTAGCTATATATATGGGGGCTATTCAGTAGAAAGAGAGAAGGTCTTTTTTTTGGCCAAAAAAATTTTATTAGCTCATTAAATAAAGTATAATTAGCTATATAATTTTTTTTTTTTTTTTTAGCTCTTTGACAGTTTTGCCAAAGCTCAAATACAATACTTTATTTAAACAAACTTGAACAGAATGAATAATGTCAGTATGAAAATTGCAAGCCTAACATTACTCGGCTACATCTAGTGTGTCCAAGAGTGATTTGTTACACTAACCTACATGTAAGTTAAAAGATCTTGTTAGCTTGTCAAGAGCCTATCTCTTCATTCTTACTTTTTTTACCAAGAGCAAAAGAAAATAATGTTTTATATTCTCAATATTAGAACATATATCAAGAAGAAAAGGAGTTTATATACAAAAAAGAAACAAAACAAGAAAGAGAAAATAATAAGAAATAAAAAAAAGAGAAACAGAAAAGGTAAAAAAAGAAAAAACAAAAAGATAAGCCCAGACAAGCTAAACAAGAAAAAGTTATCTCCTGTGAGAAATAGCAGCTATCTCTATTAAGAAATAGCACAAAAACAAATACAAAAAAAGAAAAAAAGAGTGTATACTATTATAACTTGTGCCAGACAAGTATAAAAATTATATAACAAATACAACATTTATATATCTCTACTGTAAAACTTCATCTTAATATTAGCATTTCTTTCTGGCCATATAACCAACTTTGAAATATTTGGCCTGATCTAATTTGTATTTTAAGCCAGGTGCTGCTGCTATCTATAAATTCATATTTCAAGCCACCTGCTATCACCATTAGAACCTGGGACCTGTTCAAATTAGTAGCACTATATCTGTCAAACATGTGGTTGTAATCTACTCGGCTTTCTGGATTTGGGATATAAACAATGTTGATTTTTTGAAAGAGTAAGCCAAATCTCTACTTTTTATTCAAAAAAAATTTCAAGAGCGGCAAGAGTTATAGAAGGTAGTTTTAAAGGTAAAGAGTAACTACTTGCAAAACTTGTAAAAAGTGTGTTGAAAAATAGAAACTTCTGTTGTTCTTCTTGTATTTTCTGTTTAACTCTTAAAAGACTTTGTCAACAAAAACCCTTCTCTCTATGACACTGTCTCTACCAAAATTTTCTATACAAGAGTATCTCCTGCTAGTTATCTTGTATCAAAATACTTTTGGCTTGCATGCTAAATATATAAAGGAGTTAAGGAAGTGCAGTTAAGGGGGCTTCTAGAAATTATATAATATTTTGTTATTAATAAATTTCAAAATTTTATTCACACCTACCCACACCTAATACTTTATTAGCCAATCAAATTTCATAAAAATTTTAAATAATATTAATTAATAAAATCTTTTAAATTTATATAACTTTTAATCTATTGAACCAATTTGAATGATTTAACTACAAAAATAATTCTCTCAATAAGAGGATTTTAACAAGTTTAATAATATTAAAATCCAATTACAAGATTACAAAATAGATAATTTTTTGTATTATTTAAATATAGTATATAAAATAATATAAAATATTATCTATTTTGTAATCTTGTAATTGAATTTTAATGATTTTAAGCTTGTTAAAATTATCTGATTGAGAAGATTATTTTGGTAGTTAAATCATCTAAATAGGTCTAGCAGATCAAAAGCTATTCAAGTTTAAAGATTTTATTAATATAATTTTATAATTTTGGCCAAAATTATAAAATTATATCCCTTAAACCGTCTAGCAGGCAAATTTGTCTGCTAAAATTATTTTTAAAAGGTTTTTTTGAGTTTTCTTAAAATTTATTTAAGCTTGACCCCTCTATTTATTGAATAGAATTAAAGATATTCCTTTTATATATAATATACTTAAATTTTATCATTCTATCTTTAATTTTG